TTTTTTGAACTGTGAGCCGCCCTGAGTCCCCCCAGGGAAAAGGGCGGCATACAAATAAAGGGAAAATGAAAAAAATGAAAATAGATGGGGGCTGGATGAGTCAGAGGTGGCATTTACCGGTTCTTCGAACTACTCAAAATTTCCGCTACCGGTTCTCCAGAACTGGTCAGAACCTGCTGAATACCACATCTTAACCACACCATTGTGAGTTCTGGTTTTCTTGATAAATGACAAGATGTCAGGCTTGTAGGAAGTACCGAGAAGGAGGTTGCAATGGTAGCGTTTTTGTCAATAAAGAGAATATTCACCTAACAAGTTTGGGGGGAAAGTTTAACAAAGGGAAACGGTACATCATCATCATCCCCTGTTGGTTGACAATGAACCTTTATTAGTCTTTTATGACAGCTTATGATTGCAAAACCGATCTGCTTGATGAGATTATGCTCTTAACGCATTGTGCAGCCCTCAAAATGGGATAATTCAGTAACCAGATGAAGCAAGTCGACCAACCCTCCGACTTGGGGGAAATTAGAATCGGCTTTTCTTCCTGATCGGCTAGTTTTCTAAGGGCTGGGAAAGCCCTTTCGGCATGAGGGAATGGACGAATATGCGATTCTTTCTCACGTAGCTTGAAATCACTTCAATCAATGATGGTGAAGTTTTTCGGGACCAAGTGCCCAAACCGGAAAGTGTGCACATGTGTGCGTGTGTCCGCGTGTCGGAGCACCGAAAACCCAAAGATCAGCTGATTGGTGCGCCTTTTTATTTTTGGTCATTTTTCAAGCTGTTTTCTGGGCCATTTTCAGGCCATTTTCCAGCTGTTTTTCGAGACATTTGGTGGGTGTTTTCAGACCATTTTCCGGGCCCTTTCCCAGCTGTTTTCTAGGCCATTTTAGGGCCGTTTCCAGGACATTTTCTAGGCCCTTTTCAGGCTGTTTTGGGGCCATTTTCTGGGCCATTTTCAGGTTGGTTTCTGGCTGATTTCAGGACCATTTTCCAGGCCATTTTCAAGCCATTTTCAGGGCCATTTTCAGGCTGTTTTTCGGGCCATTTTCAAGGCTGTTTTTCGGGCTGTTTTCAGGTTGTTTTCAGGGCTATTTTCAAGGCTGTTTTTCGGGCTGTTTTCAGGTTGTTTTCAGGGCCATTTTCAGGCTGTTTTTCGGGCTGTTTTCAGGCTGTTTTCAGGGCCATTTTCAGGCTGTTTTTCGGGCCATTTTCAGGCTGTTTGCGACCTTCTGACATGCAAAATCAATGGGTAAGCCAGATTCACTTAACAACGGTATTGCTAACTTATCAGCTGCAATGATTCACTTAACAACTGTGGCCAAAAAGTCATAAAATGGGGCGAAACGCAGTTGGTCTCAGGTAGCCACAGGCATTTTGGACCAAAATGCCTGTGGCTAGGCGAGACCACGTGTGTTTCGCCCCCTTTTATGACCCTGTGGTCGTAAGACAAGGACTGCCTGCAGTTGGAAATTAATCCTCAAAGGGAAGGGGAGTTTGTTTTGCCTTTTTTTAACATCAGACTAACTTTATAGATCTACTTTGGGGGTATAGGGGGTGTGTGACAGAAAAAGAATTTTTATGAGTAGCATATCAGTGTGTTGGGGGGGGGGGGAATGGAATTTTTTTTTTTTTGTAAGGATT